TAGCTAAAGAAAGCAAGCACCTGGAAATTCTCATATCCAAGTACATTTGTGGGGAAGGAAGTGAGTTAACAAGATATCTGCAAAGTTGAGCTATTGCATGTTATATAAAAAATGGAAATGTACATGAGGCTTACTGGACGTTGGGAACAACTTGAAATGTCTTTCTCCATATTGGAAGTATACATATGCCCACTGTTATGGGACTTTAGATATCACCCCTAATTCATGTTCCCCGTCATCCACCACACTACTGATAGAAACCATAGCCTTCAATGTAAGAAGGACATAGGCTTTCAGTTTTGAGAAAAGTGGACAGTTGTTGATATGCATGATCTCAGTTTACACTTTGTTACTAATGGCACACCCATGTAAGAGACCAAGGCCGACTTAAAGAATATGTAAATTAATTAGGTTTTAATTATTTTAAAATTAGATAAGATCTTGACACAATGTATGTTAGTTACTCCAAGTTACTTGCTTCCCAGATGTGAGAAGAGAAATGCCTCTATTCAACCCAGGAGATAAGCCGAGCCCTGGGGCGACAGCTTTATATAAATTATCAAGAACACTTTCTTCCTGACTTTGACAATCCAAATTCTACCTGCCTTCAGGTGCCAATTCAAACTTCATGTCATCAGGAAATTTGAGCCAACCCTGATGCTCCCTTTATTTATTCATTTATTCATTCATTCATTCTTATTCTACAATATGAACATATGATGCTCCCTTTTTAGCCCGGGGCTAAGACTTAATCTTCTGCTTAGCCATTAGCCTCCATAAGGCATGCCACCGAGGGCAAGCCATGAGAAAGGACCCAGTGCTCTGCTGGGTGTGTGTGTGGGACATCTAGGAGCGCCAGCACCTGCAGTTCATCGTCTCAGTAAAGTTCTGAGATGCTTCATGACCTCGTATTTCTTAAAAGGGAAAATATCTTTCCTGACTGGAACCTTTAAGCCAATCCAAGTATCAGAGTGCAGATGGTTCTTGGAAGGTGAGCCACAGGCCACGCGTTTAAAAAGCTGGCATTCATTATGCATTGACCCTAGGTCAGGCAGTGATTAAGAACTTCTGTGTATACCTCCACTGAATCTCCATCACAACTCCCAGAACTAAGTGTGATTACAATTCCATTTTACTGGTAAGGCATAAAGGAGACCTACTGCGAGTTCCCCACCCAAGGCCCTTCAGGTTCCATGTGGTAGAGTCTACATTTGAAGCCAGAAGACTGTCCTTGGTCTCCCTGGCTTCATTCCTGTCGTAGACAAAATTCTAAGATGACCCCAAGGTTCCTGAACTCTGGTGTACATTCCCTGTATAATCCCCTCCCCTAGAGTGTGGAAGGGATTCATGAATATTATGGGATCGTCATTCCCATGTTTAGGTTACTAATTAGTTTTCTTTGGTTTAGCAAAAGAGATTATCCTGGGAGAGCCTAGCCTAATCTATGGAGCCCTTTCAAAAGATGGTCAAGCATTAAAGTCATGCTCTCCTAATAAATTTAAAAACTCCCTCTACAGTAGAGAGAATCATGTGGCAAGGAACATCGGGTGGGGGCAAAGAGTAGCCCCTGGCTAATGGCCGGCAAGAAAGTGAAAATATCCATTCTATAATCTCAAGCTACTGAATTCTGCCAACAACCACAGGAGCTTGGAAGAAAACACTGAGCTCCTCAGAGGAATAAAAACTGGCCAACACCTTGATTTAACCCTGGTGAGGCCCTGGGCAGACAACCTATCTAAACCATGCTCAGAATTCTGACCCATACGAACTTTGAGATAATAAATTTTATGTTGTTATACACCACCAAATTTACAGTAATTTGAGCTGTAGTAATTTCTGCAAAAAATAGCAATGGAAAAACTAATACCATTCCCCTAACTTTCCTTCCATCCAGTTCTAACTCAGCTCCTGAACCTTGGTTCAGCATTCTCTTTTCAGTTCAGCCCCTTCCACTTGGCCTTGAAGACTATTTCCTAGACTCCAAACTCAGCTTGGAAGCTCAGGGCTCAGTTCAGCCACTATCTGGTTATTTCTCCAGCTTCCCTGATCCTCTTTCCAGGCTCTGGACCCAATCTGGCACTGACCTGTTTGGCCTGAGCTTCCCTTTTTTATGGGGCATTCCAAGCTTGAAACACATGATTGGGTGCAGGACTTTCTAAACAATATTAATCAAGCTCCATAATAAAGACCCATTAGAAACCTAAAGCACTGAATTAGATCTCTAAGAGCCATTAAAAATTCGTTTTTCAAGAGGGAATTTGGCACAGAGCTGCAAAAAGAAGAAAGGGGTATAGATTTGATTTTGGGCTCCCTGTCTCCCACTTCATATGAATTAGGTCTAGTTGGTATATTTCAGAGCAAGATTTTTTTCAAAACAGAGGCTGTACTGCTAATAAATAAATAAAAGTCTGGCAACCATTGGTGTCATAAAAGTGCAGCACTAGCATTGTCTACTGTGTGATTGTGAGGAAAACATCTAAGCTATGTAAGCTTCAGTCCATTCTTCTCTGAAATTAATAGGTGGGACAAAATGATCTCTAAAACTCCCTCCAGCAATAATATCCTACGATTGAAAGATTTTTAAAGCCTAATGTTTTGCAATTGGTAGAATTTCTTTCTTTTATTTTTACTTGTTTTTCTTTTTGAGATAGGTCTTGGTTCGTCATACAGGTTGGAGTGCAGTAGCACCATCATGGCTCAGTGCAGCCTCCACCTCCCAGACTCAAGCAATCCTCCCATCACAGCCACCTTAGTAGCTGAGACTACAGTTGCATGCCTCCATGCCTTGCAAATTTTTAAAAAAATTTTGGAGAGACAAGGAGGTCTTGTTATGTTGCTTACACTGGTCTCAAATTTCTGGGCTCAAGTTATCTTCCAGCCTCAGTCTCCCAAAATGCTGGGATTACAGGCATAAGCCTCCATGCCCTGCCACAGTTGGTAGAATCTCTTGATCTGAAAGAAGCTTAAGCTAATGAATGACTCAGGAAGAAGGTTCTCACCCCAGCCAAGACCAAAGAGGGTCATGTCTTTCCATCTGGCTACCTGGGTCCCAGAAGGGCCATTTGTCTTCCTTTAAAAACCACAAGGGTACACATGGAGGGTTTTGGCTGAGAGATGCAGAGGGTAGCCTGGATCCTGACCAAATGATGAGCTGCCTGACAGAGCCTGCTGACCACTAACTGCCAGATACCCTAGGATCAGGGAATGCAGTAGAGAAACTAAAACCAGCTTTGAGGAGGAGGAAAGAACACAAAATAATAATTGTAGGCCAGGAGCTTAATTTGGAAAAAATGAAAATAAAAGCAGTGCTTTCTTGTAATTTGTCTTTGTCTTTAGACTTCCTTGAAGAATATTCTTCCAAGGGTGTGTGAAAAGAGGGCCTGCATTGTGGGCAGGCTGAGTGGGCAGGTGCATCTGCAGAGAGGACTCTGGGAAGAAGAAGGACTTTCTGTTTCCACAAATAAGCATACCATAAGTATTTCTCTGTTGCCAGGAATCATTTGAAATTAGGTTAAATCCCATTATTTTGCAGAGAAGTAAGCTTGAAAATTAAAATCTTCCTGGAGGAGAAAAGTCAAAAACTAAGATTTAAGTGACTTATGGTGAAAAAGTTCCAAATATCAAATTTTATAGAAAGCAGACGTGTGTGAGAAGGAGCACTGCTGATTTAATGCATGTATATTTAGGGATGGTGCTATTTACTCTAGGCCAGGTTTTTCTATTTGCTGGCAAATAGCAGGGTAAGGATTCAATCCTAGGTCTCCCTGAGTCCACAGCCATGTTTTCCTTTCTACTACTCTTCCAAAGGACCCCAGAATAGAGTGTATTATAACAAACTTGGAGAGTTTTACAGAAACCAACCTCCAGAAAAATTTTCCAATCTTGATTTGAGTTCAGTATTTCAGTGCACTGAACACTACTGGTACCCCATGCAACTCCCTGTAGATTCCTTTCCAAGTATGGTGTGTTCATCACCCACCTTCCATATACTTGGTACCTGCACCCCTTTAAGGATGGTCTTTTGTAACTTATGCTCCAGAGCTCCTTTCAGGATAGAGCTGAGTTCAGGTAAAAGCACACCTTTGCTTGGTTTTCCCTCCATGTCCAATTTTGCTTCCTCCACTCCCTTAGGGATTCCTCCTGAATGAACATTCATAAGAAATCCTTTGCACCTAAGTCTTTCACTGAGCACTGTTTCATGACGAACCCAAGATACAACTTCATGAGAGAATTGTAAAGAAATGATATAGCAGTTTCCTTGTTATTTTATCTTATTTAATGAATTTCTCTTCCATTGATTCTTTAAGGAGTTTCTAACCCCAGTTCATATTGTTTATGTTATTGAGCTGGTAGAGAACTAAAGCAGTTCTCTGACCATGTCTTTCAATGTGTCACACTTAATTCTAAAGCAAATGTCTAGAGGATTGGTTAATAATACAATGTCAGCTTTTCTCATTTCGGTTATCAGTTCAAAAGAATATGGCTCTGTCTTTCAGAAGAAAAGAGTTACGATGACATATTTTTGATTGTGCAGGCTCAAGTTATTCTCTTTCTGAGATGGTGAAAGCATCCTGACTGCTTCACATAATGGGACATATACTGGTCTAAGCAATCAAGTGTATAAGGGATATAATCATTAAGATGTAATTGTTCCTTGTATCGGCATTATACCAAATAAAGCAGAAATTGTAATCTTTGGACCTATTCAGTTTTCCATTAAGCAGAAGACTAAACTGAAATAGAGGGATGTGATATTTAACAAGAATCCCTGTCTGGCTCAAGAGATTCATTACATTTGAATTCATCTTAGAAATAAGGAATCAAAGTGAACCTGACCAAGTATATAGACATTCACTCTTCTTACCTGTAAATCAATCAATCAATCAATTAATAAGAAGAAAAACAGCAATCTAATCTTGTCAGAAAATAAGCCTCCTGGAGGAGAGATAATAAGCTTGAAGCTTTAATGAAAAATAGCCTATGAAAATAAATGAGGGATCATGGCGCAGGGGCAGCGCAAGTTCCAGGCGCACAAGCCCGCAAAGAGCAAGACAGCAGCGGCGGCATCTGAAAAGAATCGGGGCCCGAGAAAAGGCGGTTGTGTTATCGCTCCCAAGAAGGCGCGCGTCGTGCAGCAGCAAAAGCTCAAGAAGAACCTAGAAGTCGGGATCCGGAAGAAGATCGAACACGATGTGGTGATGAAAGCCAGCAGCAGCCTGCCCGAGAAGCTGGCCCTGCTAAAGGCCCCGGCCAAGAAGAATGGGGAGGCTGCCGCCATCTCCTCCAAGACACCTTCCTGAGGACGCTGGCCCCAGCGCAGGCCAACACCCCACCCCCCACCTCCATGTGGGATCTTACAAGTGATCCTACAGGCTGCACTGGCAGGAAGAGGACCCCATCCCCCAGCACTGGGCTTCACCTAGAACTTGAGTGGGGGCCAAGAGTGCTGAGAACCCAGCAATGACCAGGAAGATACAGTCACCAGCTTCATCTGTCTCCATGCCCCTTCCCAGGTCCTGCCTCCACAGGTTTAACCCAGAACAATAAACCCGGCTTTGTCATCAAAAATAAAAATTAAAAATAAAAATAAAGAAAATAATGAAACAAAAAAAATGTATATTGCAGAACAAAGTTCCTGAAGTCTATAGGGCTGCCACGTTGCACAACTTGAGGCAATGTTCTGTGCACCTCTACCCAGTACCCACTGAATCTAGGACCCTTTGTACATTTTGTAAGGAAGATGGGGAGGGAGAGAGAAAGTGGGAAAAGGAAGTACAAGGCACAATTGCAAAAAGCTATCTTCAAAAGTTTGAATGTATTCCGCTGCACACTACTTCTCCAATCTCTGAACGACAGATAATTTTTCAAAGTCCTCTTTCTCTCTGGATCATTGAAGTATTATGTAAAGAAATTCAAATTGGGTATTGGATCATCCATTAATGTTTGGCAAATGACAGGCACTTAACTGATGTTTGCTGGGTCAATGAATATATGGGTAAAGAAATGGATGGAAAGATGGGTAGGTGGATGGGTGGATGGATGAATGAATGAGTGGATGGATAATAGATGGATGGATAAATGAATGAATGAATAAATGGATGGTGGATCATGGCAGGGAGTTGTTAAAAGAAGCAGCAGGAGGAAGAGTTTTGAGAACAAAATAAAAAGAGTAAACTTTTATTCTGCATTTTTGTGGATCCCATTCTCAGAGAGCTTCTGTCTTTTTGATCTCTGTACTCTTTCTTTTTTATATATTAAAAAGTATCTACTTATTTATTCTTCTGGGCTGCATAATATGGCTAAACACTATGATTTGTAAATATACTCTTCTATTTTGGAAAAATTTTAGTCATATTCCATTCTTCTACTACATAAACATTTTTTGCATTTGGATTTTTCCTATAATAAGTATTTAAGACTTATATGGCAAGGATTTGTGTGTTTTTAACAATCTAAAGCTGAGTTCCTTTTATGTTTTAACCTTTTTTGTTGTAGAACATTTCAAACATACACAAAAGTAAAAAGAAAAGCATAGTGAATCCCCACGCAGCCATCTTGCGGTTTCAATATCAACATTTTGCTAATCTGTTTTTTTTTTTTTTTGAGATGGAGTCTCACTTTGTCACCCAGATTAGAGTGCAGTGGCATGATCTCAGCTCACTGCAGCCTCTGCCTTCCAGGTTCAAGCAATTCTCCTGTCTCAGTCTTCCCGGTAACTGGAATTACAGACACTCACTACCACGCCTGCCTGAGTTTTGTAATTTTAATAGACAAGGTTTTGCCATGTTGGCCAGGCCAGTCTCGAACTCCTGACCTCAGGTGATCCTTCCACCTCAGCCTCCCAAAGTGCTGGGATTACAGGAATGAACCACCACACCTGGCCATGCTAATTTTGTTTTAATTAGCTATAGCTCCTTTTAAAAAAAAAAAAAAACATTCAGGCCAATGATACTATGAAGCAACCACACAAACAAGCCTGCACTCTTTCTAATCAAACATGCTTTCAAGAGAGGAACTGATAACTCATTCCCATGAAAATATGAACATTTAAAAAAAAACCTGAATAATGTACAAACAACGCAGAATCTTGAGCATACATCCACTAAGTTCACTGCAGCATAGATACAGCACATCACCAGGGGGCACCATTCACATAGAATAACATGAGAGCTGTACGCCTTCAGAATGATAAAATATGGTGGCTTGGTTTATATAATAGTTTGAGAAATACCAGGTAACTCCTTTCCCGGCTTACTTCCACTTTTATAGGGGCCAGAGGAATCATTACATAAATATGGAATATTGGCCATCAATAAAGGGACAGAGTAGGGAAATATTACGGAGACAGCCCTTTCTAACGCTCTTGAAAAATTGCCCCACATAGACTTGTCTCTATCTATGAACAGGGCAATTGAGAAATCACGTTACTTACTGGTTGATAGACACCTTTATTTTAAGTGCATCTGGGTTATATGTGAGTGCAAACTGACTGCCTTGAATGATTGGGAGGGTTTTATTTTATGCTGTGAATTTATCTACCTCACAGAGCTGTAAATATAGCTCCATAAGTCAGAAGCCAATTAATCAAAACCCGACTATTTAGCAAGAAAAGTGTTACATATTCCAATCCAGCACCCCCAAATATATCAGGGATGATGTGAAAAACAGGAATTCAAACATATTAAGAAATCGGTAAAAATGTTTTCCAATTTAAGACAGAGATGGGGCATGGAATGCTGAATGCTGGCAGGAATGCCAGGGTGGCCTTTGTGATGCACCTTTATCTGAGCAAGATACACTTGGGTGGGAAAACAATGTGAAATTTTTACTGGATGGTCTTTTCTTCTTCCCCTAAGCATATAAAAAAGCATCTTCATGTGTTCACTCTAAATAAGCAATATGCTGAAAGGGTCTTTTAGAATGTACATTTGGGAGAAAGGTGAGGGCAGCATGGAAATAAAGGAACATTCAAGATCAAGGTACTCTTTGTTAGGGAAATACATATGAGATTACAATTGGCCTTAAGAAAATCATTATAAGGACACATAAAAGAAGGGTGAAACAATAGGCATTCAGTCAGTCACAGGTTATTACACAAAATAATTGCTCCACTAAATCAGTAATAGCTCAGCTAGGCTCATCTAGAACGTCATGTAGGCCACGGCAATGACCAACTATAAAGGAGCTCCCACTGGTTTTGTGCAAGTCTACACTAATGGGAGTGGGAGGGAAATCTTTTGTTAGTTACTTGAACAAAGACAACTTGGGGTGTGGTTGTGCACAGACTGCTTTTTGTTGTTGTTGTTTATTTGCTGTTTATTAGCTAAGAGACTTGATACCCTGTTCCTGGAAATTAGAACTGCATTTATTTTTTATTGTTGGATAACAAATAAATAGAAATATAGTGGCTTACAGCAACCCCCATTTATTATCTCAGTTTCCATGGCTAGGAGTTCAGCATAGAGTAGGTGGGCTCTGGGCACACGGTTTCATGAGGTTGAAATTAAAGTGTCAGCCAGGGTCTGATCTCATCTGAGGCCTCTTCCAAGCTCACTGGTTGTTGGCAGAATTCAGTTCCTTGCAGTTACGGGACGAAGGTTCCCACTTTCTTGCTGGCAATCCATCAAGTGCCATGCTCAGTATTTAGAGGCCTCCCACTGTTCCCTCCCCTGTGACCTTCTCCACACATGCCAGTTTGCTCCTTTAAGGACAGGAGGAGAGTTTCTCTCTGTTGGTTAAGATGGAGTTTAATATAACATCACATAAACAAGGCAGTGACAATTCCATCATATTCATGAGCCCTGCCAACACCAATGGAAGGCATGATACAGGGTGTGTAGACCAGGGGACAGAAATCTTGGGGGCTATCTGAGAAGTCTGCTTACCATCAGCAGTACACTATGCAGAAGAGTATTCATCTTCTGCAGTAGGGAATTCTACGTGATCTAGTCCCATAAGAACAGTCAAAGCATTTAGTGTTTAGTGTAGGTCTTAAGAAAGGAGGAATACAGACTTCTTCAAGCCTATTATCTTTGAGAATTTTGGAGCTAGGCAGGAACTAGCTTCTTGTCTTTCTTACCCCGGCATGGGTAGATTTATTTCCCTTGCACTAGCCACTCAGAAATGTGGCCTCTGGTATTCCAGAAAATCAGACTCAAAAGGGAATTTCCATACTGTCCTCAACACCCTTGTGCCTCACACAGTGGCAGTGTGGTTTGGCATTCCTGCTGTCAGCTCATATGATAGTAAAATAAAAACAGCTTGAAAAACTAAGTTTAAGATATACTGAAAATTAATGAATCAAACTCAAGCACATGCTCAGATATCTTTTCTTCAGCAAAACTTTTCGGGCTCTACTTCAAAGGAAAATAAACCCAAATGCTCCTCCTCCATCCTCAACACAACCATCTCCCCACTCTTTCAGGCGCTTGGTTCATGCTTCTCCTGAGTCACATATTGCTTTAAAAGGCATCGTGTTGATGATGAATTGGTGAGTCATAAACATGGGGGATTAATAGTCCTTTAAATTTAGTAGCAGTTCAAAAATAAAAGTGGAAAGCACTAATTTTTCAAGCCTTAAAATGTCCAGGATATAAAGAGAATTTTAAAAGTAGTCATCTTTCTCCTTATGAATGCAGTGATTATAAATTCAATTGTTTGAGCAAATATAACAATTACAAACTCCCTAGCAGCAATGCAAGTCATGAAGTGCTAATATAATAAAAATCATCATGCAAGAAGAATAAAATTACAGTAGTTACTAAGCATCGGGTGCTTACCCTGTACCACATGATCACAGCCATTGTTTCTCATCTTTACCCTGACCAGAAAGATGGTTTTATCCAGAAAAACAAAAAACAAAACAAAACAAAACAAAAAAACTGTCCTAAGTCATATAGCTGGCTAGCTAGTGGCAAAGCTTGGATTTAAGCTCAGATTTAATTCCAAGTCATGTTCCTCGCATTATGTGGTAATGCAGTCACTTGGTTTACAATTTACAGGTTCGAAGTTAAAAAAAAAAAAAAAAAGGTATTGAAGGAGACTAATACTTAATTAGTGCCTTGTATTTGCCAGGCATTATGTGTATAACACATTACACTCGGCTCTTCACATTTAGAACAATGCACAGAGCCAGCTCATAGAAGACAAATTTGTGTATATCCCTATATTAGTTTCCTGGGGCTGTTGTAACAAAGCACCACACACTAGGTGGCTTAAAACAACAGAAATGTATTGTCTTACAGTTCTAGAGGGAAGAAGTCCAAAATCAAGGTATCATCAGAACTATGTTCTCTCTGAAACCTACAGGAGAGTCCTTTCTTGCTTCTTCTGTGCCTCTGGTGGTTTGCCCAGCAATGTTTGGCGTTCCTTGACTTGCAGCTGTGTCACTCTAATCTCTATTTTCATTATCACACAGCCTTCTCCCTGTGTGTCTCTGTCTTCAAATGGCCGTCTTTTTTTTTAGACAGAGTCTTGCTCTGTCGCCCAGGCTGGAGTGCAGTGGCACAATCTCGGCTCACTGAAACCTCCGTCTCCCAGGCTCAAGCTATTCCCCTGCCTCAGCCTCC